AATAAACCCTATTATTATTATTATTATTATTATTATTATTATTATTATTATTATTATTATTATTATTATTATTATTATTATTATTATTATTATTATTATTATTATTATTATTATTATTATATACGCAACCTAATTATTATGTTTGATTATTTATTTAGAAATAGGAAAGAGCAATAGAAAAACTGGTATATGACTGCACAGAGGAAAACAGGCAGCTGGCTTAGTCGCTAGAACTCACATGGTCACAAAGTGAAAAAAAAGGGGGGGATTTTCCAGCTCAAAGCCGCCCTGATGGACGATGCAAAACCAATTTTATTCCACTTAGAATAAATGGACAGTTTTAAAAAAAAATTCAAGTTGCTCTGCGACCGCGGCAGGACTCGAACCTGCAATCTTCTGATCCGAAGTCAGACGCCTTATCCATTAGGCCACGCGGCCACCTTGAAATACGTTCCCTGCCCAACCTATAGGAAGCGAGAGCGCGGGACGTGGAGGAGGGCGGGGCAGAGAAGAGCACGTAACCTCGTCGCCCAGCCATGTTGGGAGATACCATCCTCGCTCTTTCCCGAGGGGTGACCCGATGGAAAGGAAGCGAGAATAGAAGCTGACCTAGCGGACCCTAACCCTTTTTTTATTATTTATATTTATTCTAGACGGAAGATCTCCCTCAAAGAAAATCCCAGGGGTTTGAGGAGACACGGATGCCCCATTTTTTCCCTCGTTCCTTAAGCTACCCCCACTTTCCGTTTGGCGTTGTACTGGTCCACGCCGGTCGAGGCCTGGCGAAGGCTTGGCGGAGGGAGACCGAGGTGGGGGAGGGGCGGAGAGGAGAAAAAGGGGGGGAGGGGGCTTATAAATTATACAGGTATAAATTATTATATCCCTCCCCACATAATTTGGGGGGAAGAGGGGGGTTAGTGCAATATAATTTGGGGGGGAGGAGGAAGAGGAAACACGACTTTTTTGCGGGAGGGGAGAAAAATAGCCATTTTTGGGGGGGTCTCACCCCCATTTGGGGAGGCCTGAGGGGAAAATAAGCATTTTTTGTGGGGAGGAGCAGGGGAAAGGGGGTAAAATGAGAGCCAAGGCGAGAAGAATAAGACATTTGGGGGGGAATATAGGGGTTTTTTGGGGGAGGGGTGGATGGTTTTATGAGGTGAGAAAAATAGCTATTTTGGGGTGTTTTTTCTCTCTCTTTTTGGGCTGGGTGAGGGGAAAAGAAGCATTATTTTCTGTGAGGGGAGCAGGAGGAAGGAAAAGGGGGTGCCTCTTTTCAAGAGGCCTACCACAATGAGTGTCAAGGGGGAAGAATAAGACATTAGGGGGGAATATAAGGTTTTTTTGGGGGGGTTAGTTTGGTAGGTGAGAAAAAATAGTATTTTTTAAAAAAAGAAGAAGCATATTTTCTTTCCCTCGCCCCTCCCCCCCCCCCCCCCCCCCGGGCAAAGGGGACAAGGAAAAGTAAATGACTTTAGAAGGAGAAAGAATAGGCATTTTTTTGGGGGGGGGGAATCATAATTTTTTGGGGGGGGAATGAAAATATATGGGGAATAAAACCAAAGTAACACATTGAAAAACAACAGGGGCATCAAAGCACCTGTTATTAAAAACATCATAAAATTCCCCCCCCCCAAAAAAAATTATGAAGACTCCCCACCCCCAAATATAAAAGCCATTTTGGGTCCTGCGATGAAGGAAAGCAAGATATAAATTAATGCCGTAAATTCCAGGTGGTTTTGATTTAAACCCAATCGATTTAAATCACTATTTATTTATTTTTTTAAATGATTTAACTTGATTGATTTTTTTTAAATCATTGATTTTATCTGATCTGCAGTAAGTTAAAGGAATGCATTTAGGAGCCAGTTTGTTCTTTTGGGATAGGAACAAGAGCACTGAGATGGAGATGGTGTATAAGCACATGTGTTATATTAGTCAATGGAACAAGTGAGCAAAGAAAAATTTTAGAGTTGGGTGAATGATCTATAGATCAATTTGGGGATGACCTACAGGTCCCTTTGAAGGGACAGGTAATTCTTTCTAGTAGCAAGAGGACAAAAATAGTGAAATAGAGGGTTTATGCCGAAATATATTTGGGGAGGTGGAAGTCTATGATTGTCTTTTGTTGGGGAGGGGGTTGATAATTAGTCCTAGTAGATTTATATAGGTGCTGGTGAAAGTTTTTATTTTGCCTGCAGATTATGGTATATTTTTAGTAGCAGGATCAAAAGCGCCTGTATCTCGTGAAAATGAGCACAGACAGCATGAGATTCATTGGTTTCTGAACCTTTTAGTAATCCTCAGACATAATATTTACTAGATTTTTTAAATCTCCCCTCTTTCTGTCAATATCAGAGCAGAATATATGTTTACCTTCCCTGCTCACTTTTATTCTCACAATAAGCGACTTGGTCCAAAGCCGTTAAGCCAGGTTCGTGTCTGAGTGAACGGTTTGAATCTGCAAGGTCCTAAACTTTGTCTGATGGAATGTTGTTTTTTTCACTACATGGGATGGAGCGTTTAGCATCTGGGGCAGAGAGGTGGGGAGGACAGCACACTGAGTCTTGATTTTGTTTCTCTTCTGATAGATCTTCTGCTAGCAAGAGTAGCACATTGGGACATTATCCATGCTTCTCATTCCCAAGGAAGATGAAACGTTTCCTACGGAGGACACCCCAAGTCGGTCCATTTGTGTTACAGAAAACTCAGCGATGGTCTTCAGCATCCTCCGCCAGCCGGCCACTTCAGGAGGAGGTGGTGCCGGAGGCGGGAGCTGCACCCCAACAGCTGCGTATGAACCCCCTTGGCATCCAGATGCTCTCCAAGGGGCTTCACAAGCAGATTTTCCGAGGTGCTCAGGTGCAGTATTCAGAGGAAGACGTTCAGAAGAGCATCAGACACTTGCAGAAGCATGACTTGTGGGGTAAAGAGACATCGACCCTACCTGATGTGGAGCTGCAGCTGCCTCAGATGTACGGGGCCAACATTGACGAACATTTCCGGATTTTGGCACAGAAGCAGAGCCTCCCGTATCTGGAGGCTGCTAAGGAGCTTCTCCAATATGAGATTCCGGCAATGCCCACCGAGTGGGCTTGGGAAGTGGGCTGGACACAGTATGGACCAAATGGAGAGAAGAAAGCTGTGGATTTTCCTGACGAGCAAGCCCTGGTGTTTGATGTGGAAGTCTGCGTGGAGGAAGGGCACTGCCCTACGCTTGCCGTAGCTGTTTCTCCAAGTGCCTGGTAAGAGGGAGAAAGCCCTGACATGCAGTGGGACATTGCTGTCTTTCTTTTAAGTTGTGGTTTGATGCATACAACTCTGCAGGTGTTGCTTGACAGAGATTCCTCTCAGGGCAAGCAAGGATAACCAGTAGCCAGGAATGGTGGGTGCTGTGGTCTCTTGGCATGGACTGTGATCAACAGATGGAAGGCCTTGTGTTCCTCGTCTCTGCCACAAGTTAAATGGTATTGACACATACAGCTCTGCAGGTGTTGCTTGACAGAGATTCCTCTCAGGGCAAGCAAGGATAACCAGTAGCCAGGAATGGTGGGTGCTGTGGTCTCTTGGCATGGACTGTGATCAACAGATGGAAGGCCTTGTGTTCCTCGTCTCTGCCACAAGTTAAATGGTAAAACTTAATGTATTGTCAACAACCGCAGGATCCGAAGTCAGTGTCCTTCTTTTCAGTCCACAGCTGTCAAATCCTACATCAGCCACCATCCCATATCCTTTCCCTGTAATCAACCACTGCTCCCTCCTTCCGTGGTCCAGCTCTACGGCTGTTCCTCAAATTCTTCTACACCAGACTGCCGTCTCTTCTTCCTGAGTTCTTTTTGTTTACTGCAGGATAAAACAAATCAGCTCTATGGCTGTTCCTCTTACCTCAAATTCTTGTACACCAGACTGCCATCTCTTCTTCCTGAATTCTTTTTGTTTACTGCAGGATAAAACAAATGTGTCTGCCTTGGAGTTTTCTAGGCCCTTTTGCTAAATTAAGAATGAAGCGCTGTGCTTCTTTGAAATAACTATTTGTGTTACTTGAGAATTTTGTGTGCCCTTTATCTTCTTTACTGGATGTCAATCACTTCCATTATCCTGCAGTTGACCTATGTGCAAATACTGCAGGAGTTACGGAGACTGTACGTATTTAATTAGAACATTGACTACCACTGGATTGAAGTGGCAATTTTCAGTGCATAATGAGATTTGGAAAAGGGTGAATCGCTGTAGGTTGTTTTTTCCTAATTTTTCTTGAACTGTTCAGAAGCCATGTTTGGCTTTTGAACTAAAAATTTAACCGCCCATGTGCTACACACAATATGTGGCTTGTGATAAACTGCAGTTTCATTTTTTAAAAATGTAAGTATATGGTTATTATCATTGTTCTTCTCGGTCAGTGAACTTAACATTGTAACATGAAAGAATGATGTGTGTGTATGTTTGCTACATTTATCCCCCAGCTTTGCTGCGATGAAGTCATGATTCTTGACTAAACAGGATTCTTTTCCCCCACATCATCCTCTTAACAGCCCTATCAGGTGAATCTGGCTTAGGAAGAGTGCCTGGCCCAGGATCACCCAATCTTGTGGCTTACTGAAGTTCCCCTGATGTGTTCTGTATGTGTTCTGTATTTAAGTTGGCTCTCATCTCAATTTTTCAAGTTTTTTTTTTTGCAAAAATTGCTTTAAAAAATATTAATTCAGATCCCCCGCAAAATAAAGGTACTGTATTTTTGCACCATAAGATGCACCTTTCCATATAATCTTGTGGCTTAATGAAGTTCCCCTGATGTGTTCTGTATTTAAGTCGGCTCTCATCTCAATTTTTCAAGGTTTTTTTTTTTTTTTGCTAAAATTGCTTTAAAAAAATTAATTCAGATCCCCCCCCCCCAAAATAAAGGTAGTTTCTGGGGCCCACTCATGCTTTTGTAGGCATGCTTTAATTCACACAGGTGTAACTTTTCATGAGGATGTGCTTGTCCCTCAGGTATTCCTGGTGCAGTCGACGACTCTTAGAGCAACGGTACACCTGGTCCAGCCAGCTGACTCTGTCGGACCTCATCCCCCTGGAAACAGGGAGCCATCTTGGCAAGCAGGATTGGTGTGAGAGGCTGGTGGTGGGTCACAACGTCTCTTTTGACCGAGCACACATCAAAGAGCAGTACTTGATCCAGGTGCGTCACCCTGTCTGCCTATGTAGCCATATTCTTCTGTGTGCTTCCTTCCTGTACACACTCTGCTCTTGGTGGCTTGAAGGATATTGGTTTGTGATGGTATATATGTGATGTTTTTTGTTTATTGTCCTACCCGTGAATTAGTGCAAAAGTATAAAAGTATGAAATAAACAAAGTACAGATAACAAACAAAACATATCACTAGGTATTGATACTCACTGCCTGAATTATTTGCTAGTATATAAACTAGTTCTGTGCAGAACAAATAAATGTGTGAGGCAAGCAATTATGTTACCAAGCCCCTCTGAAATGTTGTAGCTGCAGATGAAATGATTTTTTTAAAAAAAGGCTGGCTGGGGATTCTTAGAATTTAGTCCAAAGAAGTAACATTTCCTAGCTACGATTTCAAGACAATAGGATCTCAAGCTTCAGTTTGTCCCCTGTTGGTGGACAATACTGGGTTAAATGTACATTTGGCAGCTGTTAATGTTGTTGGTTTTTTAAAACCTCCGGGCTGCCTCTGCCATTTTTGATTTCTTCTGTCTTTAACTTATTATCCACGTGGTATTTCTTGTGTCATTATCTCAGGGTTCCAAGATGCGTTTTCTGGACACCATGAGTATGCACATGGCCATCTCGGGACTGACTGGTTTCCAACGCAGCCTTTGGATGGCAGCGAGGCACGGCAAAAGAAGAGGGCAGCAACAGGTCCAGGAGCATATTAAGAAAATGGGCAGGAAGACAGAAGGTTCTGCGGTGAGTGGGAATGTCCTAGTTTGGCCAATCATTTCCCTTGGTTCTATCCCTTGCTCATAATCTCTCTGTAGTCCCAGTTTATACGGGCATGGCTGATATGGGAGCACTCCTTGGTGAGAGCCAATGTGGTCCCTTCCCCACAAACAGACAGAAGATGAATTGAAAATGGGGTTGCATTATTGTTCCTCCTCTTTCTCATATAACTACAGTTAATAACCTCTCCTTTAGGAAGAGTGGAGACAAAGGCAGATGCAGATGTCATCTCTATACCTACCATGTTTCCCTGAAAATAAGACCCAACCCAAAAATAAGCCCCAGTTGAGTGAAACCCCAGCCGACACCTTTGTGCAGCAACCCGAAGATGATGACAGGACTGTATTTGAATAAATGTAGATTGCCGTACATTTTAAAAAAAAGACATCCTCTGAAAATAATTCCTAATGCGTTTTTGTTTGTTTGTTTGTTTGTTTTTGGAGTAAAAATTAATATAAGACCCTGTCTTATTTTTGGGAAAACAGGGTAGCGTTGGGTCCACTCTGATGCCAGATCAAACCATGTTTCAGGAGAACTTCATCTCGAATAACTGCATGTTTTAATATGGCCACTTGATGTGACTGTTGCCGGTGTTGCGCCGTGTAATGAAACCAGGGTGGAGATTTAATTGGCAGGAAGTGAGAAAGAAGTTCCTACAGAAAACTGGGAGATGCCATTTTAAGCTTGCTGAATTAACGGTACAGGGAAGAAATGAAGAGCAAATACTTTTTTTCTTCATGCATCGGTTCCTGTGTTAAAAAAAACTCTCTGCAAGTAGAAAATGCAGTTGACATATGACTCACCTGTCTATTTTTGTTTCTATAAACATTTCTGGTTTTGCTTTTTAATGTGGAGAAGTATACAAAAGGTGTAATTCAGTCTCCAGTGTCATTTTGGGTGTCTCCCATGTTATTTTACGGCCTAACTTTTCACTTGGAATTCTAATGAAGAACCTGAGCTGCATTAATAAACTCCATGTAAGCCTTCCCAGGCTGTCCAGATGTTTTGAACTCATCTTAGGGATGGTGGAAGTTGTAGTGTAAGATCTCTGGTGGGCACCAGGTTGGTGGAGGCTGAATTAATTGATCCACAGGTCTCAAGAAGATCTGTTCTTTTAGATGGCTCAGGATGCTTGTATTGTGTGGGAATCTGAGGCTTTTCAGCTTTCTCTTCCAAGGTGGGCTGTGAATTAACTGCTCCTTCTTTGGTTGCCCTTCTTCCTTGCAGATTGCCTCCTGGGACTGGGTGAACATTAGCAGCATCAACAACCTTGTAGATGTCCATGCCTTATATGTTGGGGGTGAGCCCCTGGGAAAAGAAGCCCAGGAACTCTTTGTCAAGGGGAGCATGAGTGACATCAGGCATAACTTCCAGGTGAGGAGGGGGAAATCTTCGGCCCAAGGATTTCTAAAGGAGGGAGTGAAGAAGCCATCAACACCACAAGTTGAGCCCATGGTACCAGCGGCATTGTCAGTGAGAGAAGGGACACTGATTTCTGGCTGAAACTCAATTTGTGTCATGTTTTTTGAATGCAAATAGAGCAAGCCCATTCTAACTGGCCACTGGTTTTGAACGTTAACAGAATATCCCTAGTTCCTTAGTGGGGGGTGGGGGGGAGAAACCCAAGTCTCCTACACATACACAGCAAGCATTTTTGTCTCCTCTTCTGATAGAAGATCCATTACAAAATTACTAGGCAGTTTGGAACTTCCCGTCCTGAACAGTTGCCCAATGTGTTCCATTAATTTCCTTGGTACTTAGAGAAAGTTTTATCAGTAAGGCTCACCATCCCTTAATTGTTTCCACCCAGTAACCTTGCTTTGTTGTTACACTCTAGTCTTTTTTTAATCTCAACCTGGCTGGGCTGGCTGGTCCCTCAAGCTGCCACATACACAAAGCACTCACTCTTTCATTCTTCAGTGGTTAGATTCTTGCGTTTACTTTGGCAGATGGTCCTTGGTTCTGCTGTGCCTCCCGTGCATTCCGTCATGTCCGTAAAACAAACACCACTCTCACGGCTAAACTCTTCTGCCATCTAGACCAGTATTGACAGTGGCTTTCCAATGTTTTCAGGGAGATTTTTCCTTCACTTTGCCTGGAGGCCCAAGTATCACTTAGTAATCTCTCCTCTTGAGTATTCCATGGTTGGGAATCATAAGGGTCCCATCAAAGAGCTAGCCAGGACTGACCCTGCTTTGAGTGACTCAATAGGTTGGCCCTGGTATAAACGTTAGGATTTTTGTGTTTCTATTCTCTCTGTGTGTTTTGTTTGGTGGCTGGGCCGTTTCTCTCCAAAGGACCTGATGAAATATTGCGCCCTTGATGTCCTGGCTACGTATGAAGTATTCCAGGCCCAGCTTCCTATTTTCTTGGACAGGTAAGAAGACTCATCTGTGTTGAGAAAAAGGTTTAACAGTTCGGCTTGTTATCTAAATGGGAAGAGTCTAGACTGGGGGAGCCCAATTTTGTACAGGGGGCTTTGGTGGATCCTGTCACGAGACAGCCTTTCCGAATTAGACAAGAATGTCAGACTGCCTTCTGTGCTCAGGGACACTGTCTGCTACAAGATTGTACAAAAATCCTGTCAGCTTGCATGCTGGCAGGGATTCTGATTTCTCTCCCCTCTTATCAGAGTAACAAGACAACATTTACTTGGCTCCGTCTAGTGATAAAAATGTCACTGTAGATAAGCCAGCAATACAGTTCTGTAAAGACTGGAACACAAGGCAGTACCTCACCAAACACCTTCCAAGTTTGGAAATGTCACAAGGGCAGATTCTCCAGAGGCTGCTCTTCTGTCAACCCGTGCAAAAGAACATAATCGCACAGACAAAAAGACCGATATCCTTTTATACTTCTTGGTGGGACTTTCCAGAGTAAGCAACAGAGCATGCATAGGAGTGCACAAAATAAAAGCTAAGAAAAGCCATACGAGAAAATGAGCTATGCACCTTTCTCTGAAAGGCTGTTTAGACTGCAGGATGGAGAAGTGCTTGATCTGTTGGCACACCTCTGCTTGACCTGACCCAGCAAATGAAAATATAATCTTTAGCTCCTCTTAGGAGATAACATGTTAGTAAACCACCTGTCACGGTGAACATGGCGAAGGGAGAACTTCTCTGTGGTGGGTGATAAATCTGTTTACCCCTTGGTGATCCCTATCATATAGTCTCAGCCTTTCATCTGTGTGGACCCATCCTGTGTGTTCTTTCTGTTGGTCACTACCCTGGCATGACAGTCAGTGTAGAACTCCTTACTTGTTTAAGGTTTATTTAGCATAGGCTAAATAACTTCCTGCCAACTCTGGTTTGCCCTTTGTGATTAATCTCTCTTGTTTCCACACTAGGTGTCCCCATCCAGTGACGTTTGCTGGAATGCTAGAAATGGGGGTCTCCTACCTGCCTGTCAATCAGAACTGGGAGAGGTACCTGGATGAAGCCCAGCTCACTTACGAGGAACTGCAAAAGGAGATGAAGAAGTCTCTGATGAAGCTAGCTGACGATGCATGCCAACTGCTTCATGAGGAAAGGTGGTGACTCTTAGAAGTACAGCATCATGAAGTGTTTTTTTTGTTTGTTTGTTTTAATAATTTAATGCAGAAGTATACTCTCACTGAAAAACTGGATTTTGGAACCTGCCTCTCCACTGAGGAGTGCAAAATTTTAGAGTAGGAATAAAACATGCAGCTGAAAAATAGCTGCTGGTGGTGCAGCATTCAGACTTTCATCCTGCTGGGCTTCTAAAGGGAAATTTTAGATGAAGACAAGATTGCGGTGGCAGGCACAGGTGGAGAAAAGTCTAGTCTCCCCTCTCAGATGATGCTACCTCGCCAAAGAATGCATCCCACCCCCCTCCTCACCTTGGTAGCAGTTCAGTGGATAACTGGGTTCTCAGAATATGATCTCACTAAGTGTTCAGTTTAAAACACAGCTTGCATTGCACTTAACAACAAGTTCTGGAATGAAAAATAACCCAGAAAGGAGAGAGATACGGTGAACGAAATTTAGACTGCAAGGCTTGTGAAAGGCAATACTTCAACAAAGCCGAACATTGCTTAGCGGAGAAATTCAGCTCCCGCTGCTGTAGCTTTGGGAATGTCTCGATAGACTGGAAGTGTGTTGGCACAGAAGCATAGAATGATGGCCTTGGGAAGGGTCTCTAAGGCCATCGAGTCCAGCCCCTGTTGAGGTAAAAAAAAACAACCTTCTGCAAGTCCCTTCCCTGTTCCCCTTCTTCAACTGCTACAGATCAGTGGAAACCTGTTCGGTCCAGATGTTGCTGGTGGTCGTTCTTCAACTTAACCCGGCCTTGTGTTTTGTTTGATGTGCCCACTAGGTACAAAGATGATCCCTGGTTATGGGATCTGGAATGGGACCTCCAGGAATTTAAGCAGAAGAAGAGCAAACCTGTGAGGAAGAAGAAGAATCAAGATGGCAGCGCTGAGCTTCCCAAAGAGGTGGAAAAGACCTCCATGGAGGAGTGGCAGGAAGGTAAAGATGAGTGTTGTAATCATGGACTGTTTTATCTGCCAGCTTGTGGCAAATAGCAGACCCTGGGCCCCACAACCCAGTTGCTGCTTCGTTTCTCTCCCTCTTTCTCTCCCTGCCTTACCTAGAGGCAAGAAGGGAGAGAGAGAACCAAGGAATTGAGGGACCTGCCTTATCCTAGATCAGAACTTAGAACCCTCTGATTTAATATTGACTACACGGATGGACTGCTGGTCTCTAGGAACATTTCCAATGCTTCAGTTAGATACAAAGGTTGAACCTGGGCCCCTTGTGTATGTGTAACATGTTTTCTGGCAGTGAATTGGTTTTGAATAATCGTGATGAGGTGCAGTCTTTGTTCTTGTGATGTGCGGTATGTCTACTTAAGAATAGTCTTGCCCTCCTTGTGGTTCAAGCACCCCTTTAAAATGCCTTTTCCTTTTGTCGTGAGATAGATCCTGGTCCCCCAACTGAAGAGGAAGAGCAGAGAGTCCCCCAAAGTCAGCTGTGCCTGGAGCGCCTGAAGGAGACGGTGGCTTTGCAGCCCAAGAAAATTCAGCATCTACCTGGCCATCCAGGGTCTGTTGCTCGATGGAGTCTCTTGGTTGACGGCAACTTTTTCAGGGCTGTGGTTCATCTCCTGCACTGGACTGTCTTGTGCCATTATGGATCTGCCGTGCGCCCTCTCTCCCACTGTTAGGAAATTAGATTGCATTGATATGCTGTGCTTGGGGCTGCCCTTGAAGACAGTTGGCAGACCTTAGTTGGTTCAAAACACCACTGCCAGATGTCTGACTAGAGCCTGTAGACCAGATTTTACTGCCCCAGTTCTTTTATTATTTGCATTTATTTCTGTACTTGTTTGTAGCTCTTAAACTTTGACATTTTGAATGTCCTGGGACCCAGGTATTGTGATCAGCTTCTGAGCGTGTTCTTTAAAGTTCCCTTTTGCTGCTGAAATTAGAGTTCATTACCGTAACTACCAGGATTCTGGCCAGTATTTTTATCCTGAAAATCAGTCAGGGCAGCTAATAATGATACCAAGTTCTGGAAAAAAAAAACCCAAAGTAACATACGTAAGTCGCTGACATAAAATGGATTTTTATTTAGTGTGACATCCGCTTTTCTTCCAACATAGGTGGTACCGTAAGCTGTGCCTGCGGGTGGATGATCGCGCCTGGGTGCCTGGGCCTAGCCTCATCAGCCTTCAGATGAGAATGACTCCGAAGCTCATGAGGCTGACTTGGGATGGCTTCCCACTGCATTACTCTGAGAAATACGGATGGGGCTACCTGGTGCCAGGAAGGAAGGATAATCTGCCAGAGTGTGCTTCAGACAGTGAAACACTGCCCACATGCCCTTTCAGGTAAGCAGAATCAGGAGGGCTTTCCAAGGAAGTGAAAGCAGCACATTTACGAGTGTCTAATAATAATATTGAATAGACTGTTCCTGCTGGACATCTTGCTTTATATTGTTAGAAGCAAGAGAGAGAGAGAGAGAAAGAGGTCCCTCAGAAATTATTAATTATTTAAATTGTTGGCTTTGAGAGAGAAAATACAGACCCAAGAAGAGTTTACTGCACTTTATCAGTGATTCCGTTTGCAAGTGTCCTCTCTATCCCTTGAAGCGGTCTCTTCTCTGCCAGGCTCATGTGCTGCCCGTGGACAATGCCACAGCATCGCCTGTCATCAGGAAGCTAGGAAAGAACTCGAGGCCTCTCCCTTTCTTCACTTCCTGCTATTTGTAATGCCCTTAATTTGGGGCTTACATTTAAGGTGGAAAGGCAGGTGAAGTTTGTGGGTTTGATTTTCTTTGTTTGACAGTGACTGTTAATGCCTGGATGCCAAGGCCCCTGCATCCTTGAAAGAGAAGCCGGTGCTTTAATCAATGTGTTTATGCTGATTGCCCCCATCTTCCCAGTGAAGGAAGACTTGGGATGGCTTTGCGGTCAAGATCAAGAAAGAGAAAGGCAGGACATGGTTATGGCTCAGCTGCCTGGAATTCAGTGAACGAGATGTTTCCTTCTTCCCCTGTAGGGTTATTGAGCATCTGTACAGGAAACACTGTAAGAGGAAAGGCAAAGAGCAGCCCGTCTCGCTGGGGGCCCCAGTGGAAGAAGAGTTCGTGTGGACAGACCAGAGTGCTTTCTGGCAGAAGGTACAACTTGGGTGTCTCAGAGATGAGCGGCATAATTAGTAGAATTAGGCAGTGCCATTCTTCCTAGGTGGTGCAATTTCCTGTAGCAGGGGGAGAATAGAATACTTGATTGCCTTTCCATTTGTTCTAAACCAGGCAGCTCCCTGAACTTAGAAAACAAGGCTAGAACACAGGCTGATTTTCTACCTGCATTTATTTTCCTTTTTTTTTCATGTGTAGAAATTCCAGGGAAAGCTGCTCTTGTTCAGATAAAGGGTGGTGTGACTAGATATAGTGGGGAAGAGAAAGGACTTTGCATGTTAAAGATATCTCCTTCCTCCACGTCAGGTTGAGGAACTTGGCCGCCTGGAGATGGACATAGATGCGAATGGTGTCACCCCGCAAGTGAGGCAGGTAATGTCATACCTTATCAAAGGGAGCAAGTCAATCGTCTCTTATCGTGCATTGCACAAACCTCTGGGCCACCGTGTTTTGGAAATAGATCTCAGAGCGCTGGATAAAATCCTAAGTCCAACACTCTGGTGGTGCCGGACTGTGCAGAGGTAGCATCACTAAGAAAGATGTCCTCAAGCATACCAAAACCTCCTTCAAAAGGAACCTCAGGAATGTGATGAAAAAGTCATGAGAAACTCTTTCCTGGATTAATTCTTCTTGTAAAAATGGCAGAGCCACTTTGTGGTCTGGCTGGAGTTGGGGCAAAAAAGAATCTCCAGCATTCAGAAACCTGTTTAAGAAAGCTGATCTGGACTCTATTGAAGACACAGGGTCTGCCTGCATTGCGTGCTTCCTGCATCCCATTCTTTTTGTACATTCTGGTTTTAAATAGATCGTTGTGCTCTGTGGTTTAAATGTGTTTTACTGTTTCTCCTGGTTGCCATTTTCATATAATATTCATTCCATTCTTTTTAAATGTTTGTA